GGGGGGCGCGGCCGCCGAGTGCTGCGACGCCCTCGAGACGCCGGCCAGGAACGCCGAACAGGCTGCCGCGAGGACCCTCCGAGAACTCGGCGCCATTGGTCCCGGCGAGGAATGCCCTTCGAGCAGCGGGACGTTCCAAGTGCATGGCTGGTCCTGCGGATGCTGGGCGACGAGGTGGGTCGAGCGCGCCTCGCGCGAGACCCGAGGCGAGGGCCGCGAGCCGCCCATCAGCATCAACGCGTCGCGCGGTCGAAGCAACGAGCGGACCAAGAAGCAGCAGGGCGCGACTGACAACCGCGCTGCCAATGCCAAAGCCGACGGCAAGGGCGAGGCCCAACCGCCGAAGTGCCCGGCCTCGCCAGAGCCCAAGCGTCAGACCTTCGAGGGGGAGCCTTTCGCGGCAGCCTGGGCGCGCGCCAAGTGCTTGCCCTGCGAGGGCGGCCCCGAGGGGCGCCGAGCCTGCGCGGGGGAGTTCTTCCAGATTTCTCGCGAGCGAGGCATCGCGGCGAGGCGGGTCAACTTTGCGATCTCAGGGGCGCGCGGCCAGGATCGCTGGGGCGCGGGCCGGGGATCTCGAACTCATCGTCATCGGCGTCGCCGACGACATCCCCATCATCCTGCTGTTGGGCAAACGCTCGTGATCCCCTGAGCCCCGAACTTCATTATACCGAAATTTCAGGGGCAGGCGGTTCGGCTACATATATGTTTGCGCGTTATTCGAACGACGATTCTATGTTTCTTATGAGTATCTATCCGCTTTTAGCTCTCAGCGTTGAGAGGCCCACTCCTGTTTGTCGTCCCGCTCCCCCCTTCCATGGCGCAGCCCGTGGATGGCGTGGCCAACCTGCTGGCAACCCATTTCCCAATTTTCGTTATGTTTGCAAAGAGGTCGGTACCCAGGCTGTCCCCGGAGGAGGCGGCTTCAGCTACGGAGGAGCGGAAGTAATTGGAGGGATTAGGAGGAGGACGAGGAGGACGAGGGGGAGGAAAACGACGACGATGCCGATGCCGAGCGGCAGGCCGACGGGGTCCATTCTACGGGTTTGCGCCCGATTTCAGCTCGCCGTTTGGGCTGGCGTTGGGACCAAACGATGGTATGTATTGTGTTCCTCTTTGCCTGGCCCCTCGTTGCCGTCCTTGTCAACTTATCATCCCACTCCCCTCAATCCGCCGGCTTTCCGTTCCTACTCCTTTCTTTTCGTTGTGCCCATCCCCCTTCTCTCATTCCCTGCCCCGTTCCTCCATTATCATGTCCCTCCCCTTCCCTCCGCTCTTTTCCCCCATCCCTTCCCCTTTTGCGTTCTTCACTCCTCCCTCCATCCTCTCCCTCCCTCCCAACGTCCTGCGTCTTTTCCCGAACCCTCAGTCTCGTTTTCCTCGTCACCCTCTTCCCCCATCCCTCCTCCCCCCCTTCCCACTCTCACTCCCTCCAACCTCGCCCGCCCGCCGTCTCTCCTTCCTTCCCGTTCCTGCGTCGCTCCCCCATCCCCCCGTCCTCGTTCCCCATCCTGCCGCCGCCATACTTTTTCCTTTCTCCATTCAGCCTCGTCTGTCTCGTCCTCGTCCTCCCGCGATAGCGGTCGCCGGGGTGGGCAAAATGGTGGGGCGACTGCGATCGCGTTCAGGTGATCGTTTCGGGGAGGAGGGGAAGAACGGTGAGGGTGGTGAGGGTTCGAATTCTGAGGACGATGCAGGGGGGCAGCGGATGCAATCGCAAAGAAATCGGATGCGATCGTCGTAGGTACAGCTGTGGTTAGGATCAGTAGCCTGACTAACGTAAGTCGTTCCAACTGTTTTCTTTGTTATACGTTGGTGTTCATATTTGTTATATTGGTCGCCATGGCAGAGAAGGATAACACATGGCAGCGTCGGATAACACACTGGCAACAAAGTTTAACGATATAATACGAAAGGGTAATGTATGATAATATGATATCCTACTTTACATTGTTTATGATTGTTCGCTATCGTGCGCTATCATTTCGTTACCGTAATTTGCCCTGGCGGTCAGGGTGGCAAAGGAGAGCACATGATATCACATGATGTAGGCAGTAAACCAAAAGGAACACATCTGGATATGCTTACGTTATTCAGGCTACTTGGGTAGCTAAGTCTCATAGCGGGGAGCGGAGGCGTAGGGCATGGAGGAGGGTGAGGAGAAAGGGGCATGGCAGGGAAGGGCGGAGGAGCGTGAGGAGGTGAGGAGAAACCGGGGACGGAGAAGCGTGAGGAGAAGGGAGCAGGTCTTGAAGGAGCGGAGAAACGTGAGGAGCGTGAGGAGAAACCGGGGACGGAGGAGAGTGATGAGAACAAAGAGAGGGAGGAGGGCAATGGGGAACAAGGTGACGCAGAGGGATCGGATGCGAAGGCGGGATAGACTGTGTGCCAGAGGCAGAACAGGCGGGGGATGAGGAGGAGGAAGAGGAGGAGGAAGAGGAGGAGGAGGAGCAACAGGGGGAGAAGGGGGAGACTGGGGCAGGGACAAGGAGGACGCGGTGGATGGGAATCATAAGGCACTTCGCCAGTTGGGCACCACTGCCAGCACAAACGGAGGGCACAGATCGGGCCTAGCCCCGTGAACATTGCAATGGCCAGCCAGTGTCGGCCTCCTCTTCAACCTCGTTGGCGTCGTCGTCGTCTTTCGCCTTGCCTCCTCCTAGTTCTCCGAAGCTAAACCCGCCTCCTCCGAAGCCAGTCTGAACACCTCCGTGCCAACACAGCGCATGTTGAGCAATAGGTTGCATCATCCATGGATTTCGCCATGGGTTGCGCCACAGGTGGCGCCATGGATTGCGCCATCCTTGGGGTGGCGCCATGTGTTGCTCCCTCTGGGTTGCGTCATGGGTTACGCCATCCATGGGTTGCGCCATAGGTTGCCCCATTCACGGGGTGCGCCACAGGTTGCGCTGTGCATGTCGCCATCCATGTTGCGCCATCCATGGCCTCATAGGTCAGGCCCCCGGCTGCCGAAAATAAGACTACCTGATGTTTGTAGTGGCATGGTGTGTGCCCTCGGCGGCCGAAGATGTACGGCCTGCTATTGGTTGCGCCCTCGACGGCCGACAAACAAAACGGCCTGCTAGTAGTTGCGCCACAAGACCCACCCGTGGAGACTGAACAGATAACGATTGGCGAACGGGTGTGGCCAGTCAGTGAGTGCACATCAATAACAGCACGTTTGGGCTAAACCCGAAGTGAGGAGGCGGATGGGGAGCCAAAGTGGTATTCGGGTCTGAGCGGGGTTGGCTTAGGGAGATGGGTTTGGAGGGAAACTGGGACCTGCCGAACTGCATCGTGCGGCCTAACGGGTTGTAGACGCACCCAGCTACCCCTATCCAGCCTGCTTACAGGTAATGCTGCCAACGTTCGAATCGTGACTTCCCGATACGTTGTAAGTTATCCTGCACAGCGAAGTATGGCAAATCGTTAAGTATCGCAAGTAGGTTTACACCGCAAGAGCAACCGTTAAGCACATCTACCAATGCCTAGGACACTTGTAACAGTTACACATTGTTATGAGTATCTTACACCCAGCTGCACCTGGTTTGCAAGTAGCACGTAGCTCCGACCTCTCAGCACGAACAGAGGTCTGGGGTACCGAGACCAGGTGGGGGGCCCAGGTTGGGGGTCAGGGTCGGTTCCGGGCAAGGAATCGTCGAGTGGCTAGAGGTCCATGGGGTGGGGGTGCCGAGGTCAAGTGGGGGGTCCAGGTGGGAGGAGGTCAGGGTCGGTTCGGGGCGAGGACTTGTCGGCTGGGGGGTCCCAAGAGCAGAGTCCAGAGGTGGATGCCGAGGCCAGGTGGGGGTCCAGGCGAGGAATTGTCGGCTGGGGATCCGAAGAAAAAAAATCCAGAGAGTGGGGACGCCAAGGTCAGGTGGGGGCTCCAGGCGGGGGGTCAGGGTCGGTTCCTGGCCAGGAATTGTCAGGGGTGGTCCCAATAACAGATGTCGAGAGGGTGGAGATGCCGAGGACAGGTGGGGGGTCCAGGTGGGGGGTCAGGGTCGGTTCCGGGTGAGGAATTGTCTGGTGGGTCCCAGAAAGCCACGTCCACAGGGTGGGGGTGCCGAGGCCAGGTGGGTGGGTCCAGGTGGGGTGTCAGGGTCGGTTCCGGGCCAGGAATGAACGAGTGAAACCAGAGGTCCAGAGGGAAGGGATGCCGAAGCCAGGTGGGGAGTCCAGGTCGGGGGTGTCGGTAGCACTCAATAGAACCACCGAAGTCTGAACACACAAAGTTCCAAACCGAATATGAAATTGGATAGATTGCGATCGATAAGATCCGCTCGTAGTTAATATCAGCTCAGGGGCCCCTACGAATCAGTTTGAGTCAAAACAGGCAGCGGGCGCGCGCACACCTACACGCAAGTATGTACCGCAAGCAAGCAAGCAACACACACACGTGCATGCTAGCAATCATTACATCATGCATAGCTACTACATTGGAACAGAATCTGTGCCATTGACACAGGGGAAAGAAAATAAGCTTTTAAGCCCCGATTCCTCAGTATACTACAAATACGCACGCGCTGCCATACCTAAATCAACTCAAGAAAAATCAGAAAACCTGCACCGTTTCAACTACAGAGTCGAGAGATGTGCCCTGGTCTCCTGAATATCGTAGGTCCCACATACGATGACCATCACCACGCCGTTCATGAACTGCTCGAGCTCGCCGATGGGGAGCCTGCTGTAAACTCCTCCGTCGTGATCACCGTCGGCTCGTTCATCGACTGTATCACCTGAAACCTCGGCGTGGCTAGATCTCGTCGATACGTACACTGTGACTGAGTGTTCGCCGACCTCATCCGCTTGGGCTCCGGCACGTCTCGAGCTCTCAGCGTCATCTGCCGTAGCTCGTTCTTCACGTTATTCAGCTGCCGCTCCAACTTGTCGCTCGAACCGTTCAGCGCCGACAGCCTTTTATAGCACAATCCAAGCTCCTCATTAGCGTCCTTCAGTAGCTTCTCGGTCTTGGTCAACTTCTCTTCGTAGGCCGCCAAGCTCTAGCCGCGCTGCTCGAAATCCGTCATCAGCTTCTCCATGTCTGGCTGCATGTCGACTATCTGCTTGGCTCTCTCTTCGATCTTAGTCCGTTGCCCTTCGTTCTTTTCTTTTAAGCGCTCGATCTCGTCGGCTTGCTCACTCATCTTTATCTTCATCTGCATATACTCGGCGTTGTCGTCTCCGCATGAGTCTGGCGTATCTTTCAAACAGCGTTTCGTCTCCGCGTTATTTGTTCTCCAGAATCGCTCATTCGCCCGTTTGATGTAGCACGTCACACACAAACAACAGCCGCAAACCAGCACCATCACAACCAGCAACATCGTGAGCACGGTCACGTAGATCCACTGCGTCTCGTTGATGTCCAGGCTTGGGCATGTCTCCTCTGCTTTTGTCGTCGTAGCCGCCGTGATCGCCACCAGCGCCGCGAGTCTCTGTGCTGTCCTGGTACCTGCCCTCGTCGCTTTGACCATCTCTCGCGCTGGCACTTCATCTGGTGTCTGGCCCACTGCATTCGCCTCGTCGAAGTCGGCCGCCGCGTCGTTCAGCTCCTGCTCGTTCTTGTTACGCTCTTGCTGGCTGACCTTCTTGCCTGCAGTGAACGTTGCGTCGTACTTCAGCGCGTGTGTCATTCTCCTCAGCTTCTCCACGAACTGCTGCCGCACCTGCAACTTAGTCAGCCCGTCCGCCATCTGCTGATGTGTATTCGTCCATCTCCACACTCCGCCGAACTCCTTCATCTTCTCGTTCACTTGCATGATCTCGATGCCCGTCCTGCGCTCCGTCAGGCCACCGGCTGGCGCCTGAGAATTGGTTGCGTCGTAGAGCGCCTTGCAGTCTGTGATACACGGGCTTCGCCCTAGCACCTGCAACATGTCCGGCCCCGTCAGCTGCATGTTGGGGTAGAGCATCGTGGTCAGCATCGTCTTCGCGAACTCCAGAGCGTCCACCGCGTTGGCCGCCGCCTGAGCCTCCCCGGACAGAGAACTCCTGCAAATGCGAACCAACTTCTTGCTCGTCCAATCGATGATAACCAAAAACGTGGCCTGGCCGTCGTCGATCTTGTCGTCCTCGATCGCGAAGATCATGTAGCCTCCTTGCGACTCTCCGTTAAGTCTTGTTGCCCATGAAGCGTCCCAATACACTCCAAGTCGTAACTGCTCCCACTTGGACACGTAACGAATACGGATACCCACGTCGCCACTCGCCTTCAGGAACCGCAATGACTTGTTGGCCTCCAGCAAACTTCCAACCGTAGCTTTGCTCACGTCACCTTGGGCAAAAGAAACTGTCGCCGCCGCCTGCACCATGCGCTGAGATGCCGGCCACTGCATAGCTCCATTAAGTCCTCGTAGCTGGCTTATCTCCTTCGGCGTGCACAAATCGTCCGGGTGCTGGCGGCGTACCTTCTCGATGCTAATCGGCTTCACCTTGTGGATGTACTGCTCGGCCTTGACCTCGATCTCGTTCCTTGACTGCGACTGCGTGGTCTCCATGCCACAGAAAACAGTACCGTTCTGAAACTCCCACTTGCCGAACTTAAAGCGCCTGCTGAGAGTCTGCACCCTGTCCAGGAACGTGCCCTCGTAGGCCTGCTTGTCGGTCAGGTCGGCCTCGCGCTCCAAGTTCTCGCCGCCGCCGATGAAGTCGTCCACGTGTAAACCCAAAATACCGTCCAGTACGTAGTTCTGTCCGTCGTCTGCGCTCCACACCAGAAAGGGGTCGTCGCCGTCGGCCGCGATGCGGTGCGACAGAAAACAGCACCGATCCAACTGGTGTTGAAGAAATCCGATGTCGATCATGGCCTCCGTGATCGTCTGATTCCACTGCCTGGGAGCGCGAACATCCCCGAAAGCTGGCTTCAGCATCTGCAATATCTCGTCGTCCTTTAGGCCCATCATCTTCGCCAACCTCCTTCGGATGTCCTTCGTCGGTCTGCTGAAAATGCGCACTCCCTGCTCACGAATGTCTTTGGCCTGGAGGAATGCGCTCTTCACGTCAGCTGCCACCATCTTCCACGACTGCTGGCACAGGATGAGCAGGATGAGGTACCTCGCGAGCCTCGTCAGAGTAGGGCTTGCCTCCTCCACGTTAGTGCTCGTCACCTCCTCCAAGTGAAGTCCTTGAAGAATCACTCGCGCATTTGCCTCTCGAACTCCGTCCTTCATCTTCCACTTCAACAGAAACCTCATCGGACACACTTCGCCAGCTCCCGCCGTCGCCTCGTTCACCGCCTGCCACGCCTGGTTCTCGATCCAGGGTAGCAATGCCTTGGTCTTGGCCTCGTCGAACTGCACCTTCTCGTCCGGCGTGAGCCTGGCCTCCACCACAGCGTCGCGCTTCGCCGCGTTCGTGAGGTAGATCATATCCTCGTCCTCGTACAGCAGTAGCAGCTCGTCGTCGCCTGTGTCCGTCTTGATGGTCTCTGTCTCCATCGGTGTCATCCTTGGTCTCTTAGCCAACGGTTTGAGCCCGTCGAGCCGTCTTGCCGCATTAATGCTCTCCAGTAACTCGTCCCTGTCGTCCACCTTCCGCTTCTCCACTATGGCCGCCGGTTTAGCGTCCTCTTCTTTCTCTTGGCTTGGTGCCTCGAGATGAGGTTCTCGCCCGCCATCGGCTCCCGGTGGATCGGTTTCGGGTCGAGACTCGGCCGCCGCTGACTGCGGCTGCTCCTCCTTCACCTCGCGCTCGGCTGGCTCGGCTTCTTCGCTGCTCCTCGTCCTTTCGTCATGATGAGCACGCTCCTCGACTGGCTCCTCCACCTTGCCATCAGTGTCCACGCCTGCAGCGTCCATGTCCATGTCCTCGGGCCGTCCGTCGTCTACGTGGTCCTCTGGGTCCCCGAGCGCGTCGCCAACGCAATCCTTGTACTTGATGGAGCCGGTCGTGCTCTTCAACTTCTTGAGCAATCTCTCCGCCGTCGACAAGGGTAGACCGAAATCATCATCTGCCTCCTCGCGTTGTCGCCGCTCCTCTGGTAGCTCTGGCCTCAGCAACTCGGGCGTCGTCCTGAGCAGCGTGTTGTTATGCACGCACCAGATGACTGACTGCCTCAGCTTGTCGGGGTCGTCCGTGTACTCGACCTGCGTCGCCATCGCCGGCCCCTTCCAATAACTCTTGATCAAGTCGCTCTCGCCCTTGTCGCGCCTCCAGAAGTAGACGTACTCGCCGATCTGGAACTCCTTCGCTAAGGGTCTGTTGCGAGCCGCTAAAGCCTCTCGCACTGCCCTCGACATATTCGCCGCGAAGTAGGCCTTGGCCGCGTCTCGCCTGCGACCCAGGTTCTGGTAGAATCCCTCGTCGTGCTCTCCAAGATCGCCCATCGTCGTCGGCTCGTCCGCCATGTGGCCCAGATCTCTGGGCTGCCGTCCTAGCGCACGCTGCGCTGGAGTAAACCCTCGAACGTTACGTAGCCGATCCCTCATGTCGCACGTCACTCGCACCGTAACCTTCAGGCTGTCGTCCGGTCGGTCCTCGTGATACTTGGCAATCTGCTCTCGTCGTACTTGGTGATTCCTTTCAAGGATCCCGAGTCGATGATGAGCGTCTCTCGGTATGAGCTGCAATTTTATCTGCCGCATGTCGCACCACTCCGAAAATTCCTCACTCACATGCGCACCACTTTGATCAGCCCGAATACGCACTGGCACACCAGCCCAATTGATCCAGTTTTTCTCGATCGCCTTTATCTCGGTCTTCGCTTTTTCGTCTGGCACCACCGTGTCGACCTCGTATCGCGAGCTCTCGTCCATAATCGTAAAAATCAGCTTGTGCTTGTCGTTCCACTTCACGTGAAAAGTGTCTATGTCGATCGTGTCGTTGAAACCTCTATCTTTTGGAATCCTGGCGATCCGTACTGGTTTAGGCCTCTGTCGTTTCAAGCATATCTCACAAATATAAATCCGCGCGCAGCTCACCAAACGATCATCCGCGTTCATCTCCTTGAGTGCTGCCGCCAACGCTTCGCTCGATGGGTGACCCATCTGCACATGCACCTTCTCAACCCACTTGACCTCGTCGAGCGTGAACTTCTCAAGTAAATTATTCCAAACTTCTTTGTACTCGATCTTGTCAAACTCCTCTTGCGTCATCTCCTCCACGGCGTAGCTTGACTCGTTCTGCGGGTCGTCCACGATGCAGATTGCCGCCTGAAACGCCATACTCCTCGGGTAGTTCTCCACTCCGCGCATGTTGCGAGCTCCTTCCAGCATAACGTGTTTCTCCTTACAGCTGCAACGCCTCCAGAGTCCCTCGTGCATCTTGTACTTGGTCGTCCGCACGTTCGTGGGCTTCTTGATCGGACCGATCCTGCGCCCGTCGCGGTCCAGCGCCTTCAGCCCGTGCGCGCACTGGTCCACGAACGTGTCGTATCCTTCCATGTCCTGCCAGACGTCCTCGCTCCACGACGTCGCGTACCTGGGATGCTCCAAATGCGCGTTCCTCTCGTTCTTCTGCTGCTCGTCGTAGATGTCCCGGCTGAACTTCAGAAACTCTTTCTTCTGCTTCTCTCGCTCTCGTCTGCGTTGCTGCCGATATCTGTTGTCCTTACTCGCGTCGTTCAGCGTGTTGATCGAAGACCACAGCGTACATGGCGGTGAAATCCAAACTTCCCCTGGCCTTTCACGTCGTAATTTATCAAAGAACGCTTCGCGATGTGACTTCCTCGTGAAATCCCAGCCAGTGTCCAACGTATACTTGTCCGTCTTGAAGTCGCCATGCTGCTCGACATACTGTGAAATACGTCCCTCATTGACAAAAATATCCCAGAACTTGCGTTTAACTTTGGGTTTCTCGTCGAGCGTCCTGTTAACCTTCGTAAACCAGTCCTTCAGCTGCTCGGCGTCGAAGTTCGTCGTCTCCGCGTCCTCCTTCTCCTCGCCATGGGTGCTGGTCACGTAGAAATATATTTCCTCTTCGCTCTTGACCTCGTGATCTCCGTCCGTGTCGGCGTCCGTCGAGCTAGACTCCTCTTTGATCTCCAGCGCGTCCTCTGGGAAACTCAAGAGGTCCAGGATCATGTGGCCCTTCTCGTTTGTCTCGATGTCGCTCCACGTCTGCGGTACTTCGTCCAGGTACATCGCCTTCTTGTTGCGGTAGTCCACCACGATGCCCCATTCTTCGAGACACGGCCGAGCCACCAAAAGAGAAACTTTGCCCGGCACCAGGTAAACCGTGATCTCGCGCCTCGTCTTGCGAACCCAGACTGGGAACGTAACCATCTGCTTTGCCGTCGCCGTAGCATCGTTGCCGAACCGGAATGTCTTCTGGCACCGCTCCGTCGTGATCTGGTCGGCCATGCCCATGTCCGTCAACTTCTTGCGCCACTTCGGCCACTCGTCGAGTCCCATGACTGGCTTCGTAGCTCCACTGTCGCCAACTCCTTTGCCCGTAGCCAAATTCACTTCTTCGAGTTGTAATCCGTGCGCCGTCTCCATACTGGGCACAATCTCAGTCAACTTGTTGTCCGTGCCGATCTCGTACAGCATCTTCGCGTCCTCGTCGTGCTTGGCGGGTGCTCCATCTCGTCGCCGCTTGAACCTTGGTCCGTGTTGCTGCGTAGATCCAGTATGCGTCGTCTTCGGGCTGCCGTCGAAATGCTTGCCACCCTTGCCACCGCCGAAGGGTGCTCGTCCACCGTATCGTCCTTTCTGCTTGCCCTTCTGCGCGCCTCTCGCTTTGCCGCTGCTGCTGCGTCCTCTTCCTTTTGGCGGCCTGGCATTTCCAACTCTTGGAGGGGGTAGCCCACGCTTCTCGTCGATCAGCGCCACCACGGGGCAGAATCCTCGGGATTTTGCCAACTCGTTCATCTTAGCTCGAGCCTCCGCATACGCTGCGTAGGCCTCCTCGGTAGCCTCGTAGGCGTTCTCGAGATCCTCCGGCACTTCCTCGTCATCCTCGTACCATTCGTCATCTTCTTGATACTCTTCATGCGGGTCGTACTCGTCCTCATAGTAAGCATCATCGTCTTCTTCATAGTAATCTTCCATCCAGTAGCCTTCTTCTCGACTGCCTCGTCCGTGATAAGTACGTCTCACGCGATCGATGTCCTTCTTGTGCGCCACGCTGTCGCCTCCGAACATCGTCTTCAGGCTCTCCGTGACCACCTGCACCGTCAACCTGTTGTTGCACAGCGCCTTGAGGTTGGGTACTTGCCACTGGGGAATCGCCGCTCGCGTCATCATATGCCATCCTGCCAGTAGATCTGGCAGCTCAAGTCCCGCTTTGCGCAGCTTCGTCAGCTCCTTGCCATGCCTGAGCACGTACGCGTTGAGCGTCTCCTTCGGCTGCCGCGCGAACTCTCCGAAAAATCCGTCGCATCTTCCCGGCAACTCGACCTCCTGCGTGTACCTGTACAGCACGTCCAACTTCTCAAAAATCTCGTCGAATGCCTCTGCGGTGTCCATCCTCTCGAAACTTATCTCATCACAGGCGTCCCATGCGTCGCCCTGCAGGCTCTGCAGGAGCAAGTAGGCGCCCTCACTCACCACTGGCGCGCCTCGGCGCGCGCACAACCTCTGGAACACCGTCGCTCTCCGTCGAAAGTTCCTGTACGTCGCGTGGCTGAGGTCCGTCGCATCCGGGCAGCACTTCGCCAAGCCCGCGCCCATCTGTGGTGGCCGTTCACCCTGTCGTCCTCGGCCACCTCCTCCTCCGAGGAGCTCGCTGTCGTCGTCTGGTATTTCCTGCTCCTCGGCTTGGCGACGTTCCTCTTGCTGGCCTCTTCCTCGTCCAGCGTCGCCACCGCCGCGCCCTTCACCTCGTCCGCGTCCCGGTCCTGGTTGACCGTTGGGCCGCATCTCTCGACTCTGCTGGGAAAATCAAGAGCGGACGTTATCGGTCGGGCCGTGGACCTGGAGCCGTAGCTCCGCTACCAATGTCGGTAGCACTCAATAGAACCACCGAAGTCTGAACACACAAAGTTCCAAACCGAATATGAAATTGGATAGATTGCGATCGATAAGATCCGCTCGTAGTTAATATCAGCTCAGGGGCCCCTACGAATCAGTTTGAGTCGAAACAGGCAGCGGGCGCGCGCACACCTACACGCAAGTATGTACCGCAAGCAAGCAAGCAACACACACACGTGCATGCTAGCAATCATTACATCATGCATAGCTACTACATTGGAACAGAATCTGTGCCATTGACAGGGGGCCAGGGTCAGTTCTGGGCATGGACTCGTCGGGTGAGGGGTTCCAAGAACAGGGCTTGGATACCGGGTCCACGTGTGGTGTCAGGGTTGGCTCCGGGCGCGGACTTGTCGGGTGTGGGGCGTTAAGAACAAAGATCCAGACAGTGGGGGGGGGGGGGGGCGAGGCCAAAGGGGCGGCCAGTTCTGGGGTCAGGGTCGGATCTGGGCCGCGAATTATCGGGGGGGGTCCCAAGAACAGAAGTCTTTCTCAAGAACAGAGGTCCCAGGATCGTGCGGGGAGGTGGGGGCGCCGGGGCGAGGTGGTGAGCTCGGGGAAGGCCGGTCGGTTCCAGGCCAGACGCTGTCGGTCGAGAACGGAGCTCCAAGGAGTGCGGGGTACCAAGACTTGAAGTCCAGAGGGTGGGGATGCCGAGGTCAGGTGGGGGGTCCAAGTGGTGGGTGGGGGTTGGTTGTGGGCGACGAAGGGTCGGGTGAGGGGTCCCAAGAACAGAGGTCCAGAGGTTGGGGATGTCGAGGCCACGTGGGGTGTCCAAGTGGGGTGTCAGGGTCGGTTCCGGACGCGGATTTGTTGGGGGGGGTCCCAAGTCCCAAGACCACATGTCCAGAAGTCGGGGATGCCGAGGCCAGGTGGGGCGTCCAGGTGGGGGATCAGGGCCAGTTCCGGGCTAGGAAGTATCGGGTGGGGGGTCCCAAATCTACAGGTCGGTCGCAAGGCAAGAGGTCCTACAGGGCGGTGTGGACACCGGGGCGAGGTGGTGTGTTTGGGGAGGGCCTGGTCAGTTTTGGGCCATTAATTTGCGCCTGTTTTGCAGGGTCTGTTAGGCTTTTAGGTCTTAGGGCTTTGGTCCACTAGCCCGAACTTGAAGCCTGCTGGGCGTGTCCCACCCACCCATGACCCAGGACATACTGATTTCAAAACGACGGCGACGATGCCGATGACGAAGACGACGGCATTGATTTCAAAACGACGACGACGACAGTCGCGCAAAGTCTCCTGGGAAGCCGCTGCAACGGCGATGCGGCCCGCGCGCGCGACGACGCAATTTGAATATCAACGCATATGTACGCGAGTCCCTGTGCGTCGCAGGGGCGCCGCCCAGCGGCGGTGAGACTGCGTGGGGCGGCTGCGCGACGGGCGCGGGATAGCTCGTTGCCTCGAGGAGACGGATCCCCAGTTCGCAACCTAAGCGTTGCGGCACGGCGCGCGAAGGCCGCATAGTTTCCGGAGTACCATTCCTGGCACTCCGAGGGCAAATATCTGCGCGAGGGGTGCGCCGAAATGGGGGGCGGCATGAAGGGGCGCATAAGGAGCACGGTGGGCATTTTAGGTTGTAAGTCTTTATAGGCTCTTAGGTCTTAGGGTTTAGGGCCCATTAGCCCAAACTTGAAGCCTGTTGCGCGTGTCCCACCCACCCATGACCCATGACCCAGGACACATTGATTTCTAACGACGACGACGATACCGATGACGAAGTCGACGGCATTGATCTCAAAACGACGACGGCGACGACAGTCGCGCACAGTCTTCTGGGAAACCGCTGCAACGGCGACGCGGCCCGCGCGCGCGACGACGCAATTTGAGGATCAACGCATACTTACGCGAGTCCCTGTGCGTCGCAGGGGCGCCGCCCAGCGGCGGTGAGACTGCGCGGGGCGGCTGCGCGGCGAGCGCGGGATAGCTCGTGCCTCGAGGAGACGGATCCCCAGTTCGCATCCTAAGCGTTGCGGCACGGCGCGCGAAGGCCGCATAGTTCTCGGAATGCCATTCCCGGCACTCCGAGGGCAAATATCTGCGCGAGGGTGCCCCGAAATGGGGGGCGCGGTGGGCATTTTAGGCTGTGAGTCTTTATAGGCTCTTAGGTCTTAGGGTTTAGGGCCCATTAGCCCAAACTTGAAGCCTGTTGCGCGTGCCCCACCCACCCATGACCCATGACCCAGGACACATTGATTTCTAACGACGACGACGATACCGATGACGAAGTCGACGGCATTGATCCCAAAACGACGACGGCGACGGCAGTCGCGCGAAGTCTTCTGGGAAACCGCTGCAACGGCGACGCGGCCCGCGCGAGCGACGACGCAATTTGAGGATCAACGCATACTTACGCGAGTCCCTGTGCGTCGTAGGGGCGCCGCCCAGCGGCGGTGAGACTGCGTGGAGCGGCTGCGCGGCGAGCGCGGGATAGCTCGTTGCCTCGAGGAGACGGATCCCCAGTTCGCATCCTAAGCGTTGCGGCACGGCGCGCGAAGGCCGCATAGTTCTCGGAATGCCATTCCTGGCACTCCGAGGGCAAATATCTGCGCGAGGGTGCGCCGAAATGAGGGGCGGCATAGGGGGGCGCATAAGGAGCACGGTGGGCATTTTAGGCTGTAAGTCTTTATAGGCTCTTAGGTCTTAGGGTTTAGGGCCCATTAGCCCAAACTTGAAGCCTGTTGCGCGTGCCCCACCCACCCATGACCCATGGCCCAGGACACATTGATTTCTAACGACGACGACGATACCGATGGCGAAGTCGACGGCGTTGATCTCAAAACGACGACGGCGACGACAGTCGCGCAAAGTCTTTTGGGAAACCGCTGCAACGGCGACGCGGCCCGCGCGCGCGACGACGCAATTTGAGGATCAACGCGTACTTACGCGAGTCCCTGTGCGTCGCAGGGGCGCCGCCCAGCGGCGGTGAGACTGCGTGGAGCGGCTGCGCGGCGAGCGCGGGATAGCTCGTTGCCTCGAGGAGACGGATCCCCAGTTCGCATCCTAGGCGCTGCGGCACGGCGCGCGAAGGCCGATGCAAGGGCTATGCGAGGCGCGCGCGACGCGACACAAACGAGTAGCTCCCTGCAGCAACTCACCGACGCCTCGGCGATGCATGCCCCGGCCGGCTTGCCACGAGGCGCGTGGGATTGCCCGTTGCTCGGCGAGGGCGCCCCCCCGCGACGCGGCGCGCGAAGGCCCATGCATGGGCGATGCGACGCGCGCGCGCCATTCTTGGCGCCCCAAGAGGATCTGCGCGAAGGGCGCGCCCTGCGTTTTGCGGGGCACCATTCCTGGCACTCCGAGGGCGAGGATCTGCGCGAGGGGCGCGCCAGAAGGGGGGGGGCGGCGGAAGGGGCGCCGCATGGGCGCCATGAGGCATTTCAGGATTTAAAGTTTTAGGCTCTTAGTTCTTAGGTGGGGGTTAGGGTGGGCTGTGGGGTTTGAATTGTTGACGCTTCGCGCATCCCCACCAGCCCATCCAGACACGACGCTCAGGGGAGTTGAGGTGATCAGGGGAGTCGGGGAGCATGCAGAATAACAAAGGGCGGGGGAAGCTGTCACAGACCCCGAGAGGGGGAGGATGGAGAGGAATCGTCGTCGTCGTCGTCGTCGTCGTCGGAGGAGGAGGAGGAGGAAGAGGAGGAGGGCGAGGGGGAGGAGGAGGAGGAGGAGGATAATGAGGAGGATAATGAGGGGGATATGGAGTAGGGCGAGGACGAGAAGGAGGAGAAGGGGCATAGGGAGGAGAAGGAGGATAAGGAGGAGAAGGAGGAGGAGGGGGAGGAGGAGGAGGAGGGAGGAAGAGGAAGAGGTGGTTGAGGAAGAGGAAGAGGAAGAGGACGGCGAACCGAAGAGCCAGCAGCGTCTTGAATGCTTTTTTTCCCCAACCCCCCTGCGTTGGGTACTCGTTTTGAATAGAGCACTGCGGTCTCCACCTTCCTTCCTTCCTTCCTTCCTTCCTTCCTTCCTTCCTTCCCGCCTCCTCCCGCCATCCCTGGTGGGGCTGCGATCTGCGAAGCTGTCACCACTTTCGAGGGCTGCTGGGGGGGCCAGCGGAGTGACGCCCTACGGGGATTCAGATTAGACCTCGCCATCCCTGGGGGGCTGCGATCTGTGAAACTGTCGCCGCATTCGAGGCTGCTGGGGGGCCCAGCGGAGTGACGCCCTACGGGGATTCAGATTAGACCTCGCCATCCCTGGGGGGCTGCGATCTGTGAAACTGTCGCCACTTTCGAGGCTGCTGGGGGGCCCAGCGGAGTGACGCCCTACGGGGATCAGATTAGACCTCGCCATCCCTGGGGGGCTGCGATCTGTGAAACTGTCGCCACTTTCGAGGGCTGCTGGGGGGCCCAGCGGAGTGACGCCCTACGGGGATTAGACCTCGCCATCCCTGGGGGGCTGCGATCTGTGAAACTGTCGCCACTTTCGAGGCTGCTGGGGGGCCCAGCGGAGTGACGCCCTACGGGGATTCAGATTAGACCTCGCCATCCCTGGGGGGCTGCGATCTGTGAAACTGTCGCCACTTTCGAGGCCTGCTGGGGGGCCCAGCGGAGTGACGCCCTACTGGGATTCAGATTAGTGCTCGCCGTCCCTGGGGGGCTGCGATCTGTGAACTGTCGCCACTTTCGAGGCCTGCTGGGGGGCCCAGCGGAGTGACGCCCTACGGGGATTCAGATTAGACCTCGCCATCCCTGGGGGGC